GACCCATCTTGCTGTACAAATCCAACATGAGTGCAAAAGTGCGCTGTTCGTTGACGTTCGGTCCGACGTTGATCCAAAACAGGTCGGTGAACAGACCACCTCCTATTAGTGGGTCTCGCAGCGCTTCCGCCACTAGCACAGACTTTCCGCAGCCGGCCATTCCTAAAATAGTACACCAAATGGTCAACAAATGAAAGAATGATTGAAAACAAGTCCAAATAGTTAACAGGGCTACACACCGTGTACGACAAGCCAACCGGACAGTTCCTTGAACAAGTTCTTCATTTGGTCTTTGATCATTTCCAGCAAAGCCTTGCGCTCGACGTAACCATTTGGACGACCAGGAACTTTCGCCCTTATTAGCATTGACTTGGTGTCGGCGATAGATACCGTTGGTTCATCTGACGTGGAACTGGTCAGAGCTTCCCATATGTGGTCGTTTGCTGTCTGATACAGAGCCTCGCGCAGGAACTCAAGGCTCGACGCTTTTTTCACATAGCAACGACAAAACGAGACCACCCGATCTCTTCGTGTTATCTGCAAAAGGATATCGTTTGTCGAAAACCGTACGAACTGTTACGCATATACAAACTTGATGAGAAATCTCTTCAGCATCGTCCTCCGTGAAGACTCCGCAACTACGAAGGTAACTGAGAATCTCGCAAGGTTCCAAGTCTTTGTACACGATGCTTCCTTCCCTCGTTAACAATTGTATCTCCTGCTGTGGCAGCATCGGTTTTTCCTTTCTCTATTTTTTCTTCCAGCTAGAAGATCAAAATCTAACTAACGAATATTTAAGCATTACGGAGGTCGGTTTGATAGTTTTCATAAATTAATAACATAAGGAACGAAGACAAGAATGTAACTATACATAGTTGTTTCAATGATTCATGGGTCGGGGCACCAAATACCCCTCTAGGCCCAGAATCAAAAAGTGAAGAGTTATTTAGACTGTATCTGTAGGAAAAATTATTTCACCAGATTTTACCAGTCTAGATCATGCGCGTAAAATCGGGGTTACTTCTGCAGTCGAAAGCCGAACTTAAGAATGAGAGTTTCCAGGTTCCAGCCTCATCTTTCCGA